TGCTTGTACTGCACATACTTCCACATGCGTCTCTGGTCTGTAGATACACTACTTGTTCCTTGTTAATGTCCGAAACAGCAGTTACAAAATCTGCCTCTGGACTTGATCATGTTGTGTAGTGGTGGGTTCGGGCTGTGTGTGTGTGTGTGTGTGTGTGTCTGATGAAAAAGCCTTGAGCTGCTCCCTCTAGCTCTACAAACCAGCGGAGAAGGCTTTCGCAATGTGTCAAAGCTGCAGGTTTGTGTGTGTTCAGAGAATGAGAGGACAGTCCAGTGCGTTTAACTGCTGCCAATTATAACATGCAGGCGTCGTACCAATATGTGTGTATGAATAAACTCTAAAGTACTTATACCAATACTAGTACAGCCTGCAACTGCACAATTCATGAAGAAATTATATTCAACACCTTAGTTGTGGTAAGTCGTTACAATGACCCGGGGTGGGCAATATTGTCAAAAACGTTATTCTTTCTAATAATGCTTCTTGTAAATATGTGATTGCACCATTGTGATATTATTGTCCAATGAACTTGTTTAGATCCCAAAGTAGCAGAACTTAATCCTGAATTATGTCCTCAATTCAGGATTCAAGATTCAACAATGTATTTGTTATTTGCAGTTTCTATACAGTGACCTGGCTTCCCTCAAACATCTTCTTAAATATATTTTGTATATTTATTTCTATAATTGATTATCATTGTCCTATATCTCTTATAGGGACAGTATGTAATATGCACTCTTAGTGGTTGAAATAAAGTCAAGTCACAATCCAACTTTTGTAGCCAGAATCTTCCTAACTCGGACACATGTAGGTCCTAAGCACTAATTTCAGATGTTATTCACCTACTGGGGTTTTTGCATTTTCTTTTTTTTAACCGATACAAAGAAAATAGAGCCATTACCAGCTAAATTTCACATGGTAACAAACTGGTAACTACAGTAAAGGATGGCCTCATTCTGCTTTACGATTAGATAAACACGTCTATTGCATTTTTAATAACGAATAATTCCACTTTTTGTCCAGAAAATGTCAAATATGATTTGTACATTTGTTATCTTGGGACAAATATGCAACATGTAGACGTAATTTAAAAATGAAAGAATTACACACTGTCTCTTTAAAATTCCAGGATCTTCAGAAAAACAACAATTCAAATGGTGTACATCTGACTGTGTACATCAATAATTTAAATTCATCATATGTTTTTCTTCTTACATTTGACATCTTAATATCAAAAGGATCATTTATCATCATATATTGACTGTATATTGCCGACCCGCATCACTGTCACAAAAAGAGGTGCAAATTTTGGACCAAAAAACCAAAAGAAAAACATGACGCATGCCTCAGTGCCCAGATAAGCATTCAAACCCTCACAGTTATAAGCAGAGTTTGCATAATAATAATAATAATACACATCTTACACATACATGATGGTACTTGGCATGTACGCTTGTAGTACTTGTACATGCAGGACTGACACGGTGAGCTCACACAGAAGACAAAGGGACTACATAGCTACACGTTGGAGACACATTGCGGATACATTCATATATGTCAACACGTAATATGTATATACAGTATACATGTGTATGTGTATGTATACAGATATAGCAGTGGCGGGAGCGGAGGATGTCATGGCGGTTTGGCCCTATGCTTTCACCATGTCACGATCAAAGCGGTTATTAGAAAGATAAATATGTTTAAAATATGTTTTGAAATTACAAGTTTTTTCACACTCCTCAATCTGTCTAATACATTAAGACTAGCATAATGTGGGTCAAGTTTATATAAAAGTATACATTCTATAGTGGGGGATTACTTTAGCTGACTACTAATACTATACTACTACTACTACTACTGCTACTACTACTACTACTAATCATGTTTAATGGGAAGTTTTGATAGTCCAGATTATAACAATAACAGTGATGTATTAGAATATGATTATTAGCATACTGTCTTTATGTAAGCAGTTAACAACAACAAATACCATTTTATAATTTAACAATTCACAATTGCTTGTTTTAAAACGTACTGTAATGTATTGCTCAAATAAATAAATAAATATTGTTTATAAATAGTCATCACATCTCTGCAATTATCCAGGGAGAAAAAAGTTCCATCCCCCTATGAAACAAACATATCTAGCACAATAGAGGCGCCAGGCCAAGCTCAGATCTGTGGAAAGGCAGCCCTAAAATAGAATTATTTTTGAATAATGTTTTTGTTTTTTTTATTATTGTACTAAAAAGTATATAGTGGATCCCCTATCTCAGTTACATAATAAACTTTAACCTATTTTTGAGATCTAAATACAGCAGCTCAGTCTTAACGATTTGTTTTAAGATTATGGTGATGAAGTTAAATAGTTTCTGGACATCCCCAGCGTTCTTTCAAAAACCTTTCGGAAAAAAATGCATTCACGATCAACATCTCACGACTATTTTGACTACAGTAACAATTAAATACATTGATTTAAGTTGTGATATACATATATGTGTGACTACTGTGAGTACATGTGAATGGGGAGTATTGACATATATTGCAATGCCTCGTAGATCAAAGTTGTGCCGGGCGTACGGGGGGCGTATGGCACAAACACGTGGACACCGATGGCTTTGGTGGCAGTGGATCCACACGATGACAATGGGTTCTAACAAACGCTTATAACATTTATTACTAACACCAACCATGTAGTAATAAGGGCATGTTTATCTTCAGTTTTTGGGATAAAACAGAGACGAGAATATTGGTATATGTGTGATTTCATACTATTTTTTCTTTAAAGTGGGAACCCTCTTCAGTGACGCTGGAAAGAAATGTGTTATTTTTCTAGTTGTATTAGGTAATATTGGCAGACTAATACACTCAGGCTATCGCTACATAATAAAATAGCCGTCACATAACAGCTGATCATAAACTGAGTAATTGGATTTTGTGGTGAATCCAGCGCGCCAAACTACATTAAATCTTTAGGTTTTTATCATTTAAAAAATCTGTCATTGCCTAAGTAACATCGCTAAACATTCTATTGCAGCTTATTGTAGGAATATCGGAGAGCTCAGTCCTGTCTCCGCGCCTCCTTGTTTCATTCATATGTTTGTTTCAAAAATACATTAATTTACCTTAATGTATAACTAAGACTACATTCAGCAACAACTATCACAAGTTTATTCTTTTTTAAAGACTAGAGAGTTTCTTCCTCAGAGTGGTCATGTTCCTGTGATGTGTGTTTTACAGTTTTTGGCGCTGTCTTCCTAGCACCAGGGACAGGTGGTCTTCAGGACAGAATTCCGGGTGTGAGAGAGTTAAAACAGCCCCTCGTCCCGGTTTATAGTCCTGGGGGGATGTTTTTGTATTGTGGTTCTCTCTTGGACAGTGGTCGGAGAGAGTTGAGTACTTCTTGTTCTGCTTTGTGTCATGTGACCACTCTGAGGAAGACTGAGCGCCAACCATCTTTCTCTGACTCTTAAGACCAAATGAACCTTGTTGGACTAGTTTTCTTTTAGTTGGTTACCATAGCAACTCATTAATAATTGAATCAAGGATTCACGGAGACAGGACTGACTAGATTTGGGAGAGGCCCCTAGTGCTGATAAACAAAGATATAAAACATTTACAGGTAATTGTGCATTGAGCCCCTCGAGGGCAGAGAGGACTTTACAAGAACAAGGGTGATTGTTCAAAAACCAACCGGTAAGTGGAATGTATGTTCTGTATTTACCATCAAAGATTATGTGATTTTAAGTATGAACTGCTGGCAACAGGTCAGCGACTTTCCGGCAGTGGACACTATGGAATGATTGTGCTCTAATCTAATTCTACTACAAATCAACTAAATATGATTATCAACATTTGTGGAAAGTGACGGATTTCTTTGTGAAAACATGACACAGGATTTAGAAAAGTAGAAAGAGAGAAAGAGATGGGCATTTTCACACACACCCCTACCAAGAACCAGTTCAGATCCAGTTCTTATTGAGTCTGAAAAATACTAATTCCATTTGGTCGTGTTCACACTGAACAAGTGGCATAAAGTAAATTGAACTGGATTTAACTTTAGCACAGAGAGTGTACAGGCCCCTGTGTCAGACTGTGGTGAAGCAGGAGCAGAGTCTGAAGGCAGAGCTCTGAGTCTAGATTGATCGGTCAGTCTACGCTCTCCACTCTCACCTCTGGTCAGGAGCTTTGGGGAATGATTAGATCATGGATACAAGTTGTCAGAATGAGTTCCAGCCTGCAGTGGCTGGGCACTCTCATAGAGATGGAGGGGTTCAATCACATGGGAGAAGCTCAGAATAGAGCTGCTTCTCCTCCATGGTAAGAGGATCCAGCGAAGGGAATCAGGAAACTATTTTGGATGCATCTTGGACGCCTCCCAGAGGAGGTGTTCCGGGCCTGACCCCTCAGGCGGTGCCCTCAGGGGAGACCCAGGACACACTGGAGGGACTATGTCTCTCAGCCGGCCTGGGAACGCCTCAGGATTCCGCCAGATGAGCTGGAGATACAGTGAAGAAGTGTCTCTGCTCAGATAAAGCAGAAGTAAATGGAAGGATGTATTCTGTACAGTGTTGCAGAATATTTACATAACAAAGTAAAAAATAATAATAACTGGAAACAAATAGTCTTGTGGATTAGTGTGGTTTGTTCAAACCCAAGAATGAATATGAAACGAAAGTTAGTGTTGCCCATACCAACATGTTTCAAACCCGGGTGCTTCCCAAAGGGTGACCCTCGTCCCTACTCTGTGTGAACACGTCCAAAATGGAAACAAGAACTGACAAATGTGTTTACAGTGTGGTCCAGTGTGAAAGCTAGAAAGAGTGGGACCATTTGAAGAGCAGCGTGGCATGTGGGAGATGTGGTTATAGTATCTACAGAGAACTGCTTCAGAACACTCCTGTGGAGTCAGTGCTGGTTTGGAGGTGGGACCAGTCTCAAGGCATGATGGGAGGTCAGACGGCTCCCACTACAGCGTCTCTGGACCGCACGGCTCGTCATTTGGTCTTGATTTTGACGGGCTCTCCGTTGAGTTGGCCCTCCTTTGCCAGCCTCTCGTTGAGCTGGCAGAGTTGGCGCAGGAAGCCGTCGTTGGGGCCAATCTCCCTCTTGTGGCGAACGGTGGCCACTGCCTGCCGCGCGTCCATCTTGTGGCGAAGCATGAGGTATGCCACCACCATGGTCGGCGAGCGGCTGTAGCCCTCTCTGCAGTGGACGTACACCTTACCTGGACACAGCACATTGGAAAGGGTCAGAGATAATAGGGCTGATAAAGAATGAGAGCTCTATTTTCTATGTTGCTCAAATAAAAGACAAATAACTAGAAACAGGTATCATATGACTGAATATTAGTGGTGGGTGGTCTGACCCAGTGCTGATGTCACCGAAGTGTTTGCCTTGATGAGAATGAATTAAAATGAGAACTAGCTCAAACAGGCTATTTTAGCGGAAATGTGGAGTCAATATTGTTAGTAGCAACGACCAGGTTGTTAGTCGCCAATCAAGAGCAGGGGCGGTCTGTCCCCGCTCCCATTACTCGGAGACAAATTAAGGAACAGAAGGCTCCTGATTGGTTAGCTCATATCCGGATTTACACAAACAATAATATATAAATACATAGGATCACATTTATTGCTAAACTGATATTTTTAATCCCAAAATGGTGAGTATGACACAAACAGTTACTTTTCAATGTAATGTAGCTCTATTATGAATCAATATGTATAAAAGTCTGGTTGATTAAAGTGGTCCTCTTAGACAGACCCCTGCTTTTATATCTATATTTTGTTCAATGTTTGCTTAGTTCTTCATGTTTTCTTACTACCTGTAGAAATTATTTGTTCTAGTCAACCATTTTGTGGACTTGAACTTGACTTTAGCGGCCCAGGTACAGGAGACACAAGAAGACACCAGGGAAAATGCTTCAGTGCAAGTTCTGTGCACGTGATTATTTTTTGTTTTATGTTTATATTTTGACATGACAATAAAAGTTGTGTTGTTTAACACTCAGGCCAGCTTCCCCACAAGCAGGCAACACACAAAAGCCATTTCAATCTGGAGAGACGAGGAAACAAGAATGCCTTTGAAGTATTTTATTGAGAGGTAGTTTGGCGCCCTAGGCCCCGGTGCGGCGTTTAGTCAGCGAGGCTCCTGCGAGAGTGCGCGCACAATCCCCCGGGACCTAGGCACTGGTGGCGGCATTTGGCAGCAGGAAGCAGATTGGAGGCAGGGTGAAGAGGAGGAGGATGGGAGGCGGTGGTTGCAAGGCTTCGAGAAGGCCGTGAAGTGGGAGTTTCTCCGCTTTTAAGCGGCTGGCCTGGCCGGCACGGATTGATTGGAAGAGGGCGTTTGCTGTGCGATAGGCTGGGGATGCGAGGCCGGCCTGGAAGGGGTGGCTTTGGCTGACGTCTTCCAAATTGAATTTCCGCGAGCTGCATTTCAATCTGGAGAGACGAGGAAACAAGAATGCCTTTGAAGTATTTTATTGAGAGGTAGTTTGGCGCCCTAGGCCCCGGTGCGGCGTTCAGTCAGCGAGGCTCCTGCGAGAGTGCGCGCACAATCCCCAAAAGGTTGTGTGTTGATGGAGTTTTGCAGCCTGGTTTGCAGGGGACAGACGTCGTGACCGCTATATACTGTGACCGCTATATACTGTGACCGCTATATACTCAGCTCCGCTATATACTCAGCTCCGCTATGTACTCAGCTCCGCTATGTACTCAGCTCCGCTATGTACTCAGCTCCGCTATATACTCAGCTCCGCTATATACTCAGCTCCGCTATATACTCAGCTCCGCTATATACTCAGCTCCGCTATATACTCAGCTCCGCTATATACTCAGCTCCGCTATATACTGTGACCGCTATACACTGTGACCGCTATATACTGTGACCGCTATATACTGTGACCGCTATCTATAGATGCTCAGCTGCTGCCGCCACCAGGAAGTTTGCGAGTGTTTTATGGAGATGCCAAGAGACGCTGGGCTGCCAGAATAGTCGAAGTGTCAGGCCTGATGTATGAGGAGAGGGCCGATGATGACCAGCGGCCCAGCTGCTGAAGGGCAGAATGGGGAGACCCAGGGAAGCGGCGCGCGTTGCAGCGCCTATCCGAAAAGAGTGAGCTGTGTAGAGATGGGGGGACAAGTTACAAGCAGCAGTACAGACTTGAGTTGGGCTCTGAACCAGTTGGATGTCATGGGGAGGTTATCGGGAGTGAGGAAGCGGTCCGTTGAGATCTCCTTTCCGAGAGCGGAGGCGAGTGTAATGCATCATGGATCTGTAGGGACAGGGAGAAGTGTCAGAACGAGCTATGACTATGTTGTAAGCGCCTTTGCGTTTGGAATTCTTGAGGTGGAGGTTGAAGTAGTCGGGATAATATGACAGGTCAGAGAAGGCAATGTCTCGGGATGCATTAAAGGTGGCGTGAGAGTTTGTGAATTCGCTTATGCGTAAGAAGCCCATTTTCATGTAGGATGCAGCGGAGGAGAGAAGGTGAAGAGACGGAGGGACTAGACCAGGGCGAGGGATTCCATGCATCTGGCATGGCGATGAATTGGCAGAAGGGCAAAGGCGTCAGAACTCCTGGAATTTAAAGCGAGAGAGAGAGTCAGCAAGACAGTTAAGGTGACGAGGGACGTGACGAGCAGTGATGATAAATTGTTCAGGACTGAGAGCCATGTGATGCGTCTAAGGAAGACATGATTTGGGGAGAGGATGAACGACCTCTGTTAATTATTTCAACGACGTCGAGGTTGTCGCACGTCACGGAAATCCTTTTCCTATGCCACGTATGGTTCCGCAGCACGCAGGCTACGGTCACGGGATATATCTCGTGGAGCGCGGAGGAGATGCTTCAAGGGAAAGCGTCGGGCCGGGGCCCGGCGAACCACTGGTCCTGGAAAAAACCCCAAAACCTACGGACGGGGCTGCGTCCGTGAAGAACCGCAGGGCATCTGAGACAGGATGACGTCAATGTAAAAAAAAAAGATACACCATCCCGGCGGCTCTGCAGACGGGACCGGAACGCCAGGTCGGAGCGGCACCCCGCGTCCGGGCAGACAGCGTCATTGAGGGAGGAGACGGAGCCGGCGAGGGAGAGGAGTCTGGAAATAAAAGAACGACCTTGGGGAATGATACGGATGGCATATTAAGATGCCCGAGGAGGGAGAGCAAGGACGCCTCGAAAGTGACGGGAAGGACAAGGCAGACCGGGAGAAAGCGCGGATGCGTTCGAGCTTGTCCAGCGGGAGGGAGGCCTCCATGGCGCGTGTGTCGAGGCGGATGCCGAGAAACTCCAGAGCGGTGGCGGGGCCTGTGGTCTTTCCGGAGTGAAGGAATCCGAGGGCAGAGAAGGCGAGCTTGAGCTTGCGGAGAGAGCCCCCGGAGCAGTCTGAGGGTGGGTTGACTACGAGGGAATCATCGGGGAGATGCAGACAGAGGGGAGCCGCGCGTGATTAAGCAGAAACCGACACGGCGCCTCCGAGAGATTGCTGAACGAGAGGGACTACTCCGGCAGTCAAAGGTGAGGCGCACTGCGAAGAAGAACTCCGACGCCACTTGACCCCTGAACAGCGCCAGTGGTCGGGGTGGATGGGCAGCAGCTCGAACGCGTCCGGGATGACGGCCTTGGAGAGCCAGGAGCCGGGGCCAAAAGTCTCATCAGCCTGATCGCGTGGTCCACGGTAGCGGACTGCAGGGAGAAGGGCGCTGGAGGGAAGGGGCTGTTGATGCTCGGGCGGGCCCGGAGCGGGGACAGGAGAGGACGAATATGAGACGCTTCTTCCTGGAGTGCTTGCGGGTGGCGATGCCCATCGGGTTAGAGCGAGACGGAGAGAAGGGGCCAATGACGTAGCCCACGGACACCTCCCGCGCCCGAGCCGCGTGACGACTTGGGGCTCACGGAGAGCCGGGAAGAGGTTGCGGGACACGAGACGCCGAGGAACCTAAACAGAGCTTGCAGTCCAATGTGAGGGATTTAAACTGAGCCCGCAGTCCAAGTGAGGCGTTTAACTGAGAGCCTGCAGTCCGGTGTGAGGGAGTTAAACGACCTGTAGTCCAAAGTGAGGGATTAATACTGAGAGCTTGTAGTCCAGTGTGAGGGATTCAAACATTGCCCGCAGTCCTAAAAGAGGGATTTATAACTGAGAGCTTGTAGTCCAAGTGAGGGATTAAACCGAGAGCTGCAGTCCAGTGTGAGGGATTTAAACAGAGTTTACGGTCCAAGTGAGGGATTAACTGAGCCCGCAGTCCAAGTGAGGAGTTTAAACTGAGAGCTTACAGTCCAGTGTGAGGGATCCAACAGAGCCTGCAGTTTTTTTTTTTTTTTTTTTTTGTTATACATAAGCAGTTCCAGATATAAGCAGTACCAATATATGCAGTTCCATATACTGTATAAGCAGTTCCAGGTATAAGCAGTACCATATAAGCAGTTCCAGGTATAAGCAGTTCCAATATGAGCAGTTCCATATGTAAGCAGTTCCATATATAAGCAGTTCCAGATATAAGCAGTTCCAGATATAAGCAGTTCCATATACGGTATAACAGTTCCAGATATAAGCAGTTCCAGATATAAGCAGTTCCGTGAGGGATTAAACTGAGAGCTCGCAGTCCAATGTGAGGGATTCAATTTGGGAGCCGCAGTCCAAGAGGGATTTAAATGGAGCTTGCAGTCCAAAGAGAGGGATTTAAACAGAGCTCGTAGTCCAGAGAGGGATTTAAAGAGAGCCTGCAGGCCAAGTGAGGGATTAAAACTGAGAGCATGCAGTCCAATGTGAGGGATTAAAACTGAGAGCTTGCAGTCCAATGTGAGGGATTAAACGGAGCTTGCAGTCAGAGTGAAGGATTTAAACTTAGAGCCGCAGTCCGAGAGGGATTTAAACGGAGCTTGGTTAAAGAGAGCCTGCAGACCAATGCGAGGGCTTTAAACTGAAGCTTGCCCACCAATGCACGGGGCCAACTGAGCCTGCAGTACAAAGCGCGGGGCCAACTGAGCCTGCAGTACAATGCGAGGGGAATAAACCGTCCGCAGATCTCATACTTACCCACAACGCCAGAAGACAAGGGACAACACAACGGGACCACGCCGTATCGGCACGAGGAGGCAGGGATGCGCACGGCTCCCACCGCACCGGTCCAGACCGGCCGTATGCAGCAGCAGGCCGCGACGAGACGAGCAGCGGCGAACCCGCAGAAAGAGCCCGCAAAGGAGGAGAGCGGCAAAGACCCACGGACCGCAGCACGAGACCCGCAGCAGGTGCAGCGACGCGGAGGAGGAGCAGACCACACGCAGCAAGACGGAGGACAGCAGGGACGCGCACGAGTAAGCGTGAGTAGACAAAAGCGATTCCTCCAGAACGACTCTTTGCAAGGCTTCGAGAAGGCCGTGAAGTGGGAGTTTCTCCGCTTTTAAGCGGCTGGCCTGGCCGGCACGGATTGATTGGAAGAGGGCGTTTGCTGTGCGATAGGCTGGGGATGCGAGGCCGGCCTGGAAGGGGTGGCTTTGGCTGACGTCTTCCAAATTGAATTTCCGCGAGCTGCATGATAGTCCAACAAGGATGAGAAATTGATGGCGAGTAAGCTCAATCTCTAGAAGGTAAACTCTGGGGTGTTCCTGTCTCCAGAGATTAGGTTTCATCTCAGACAAAAAATGAGGACAGTACCCTATTTTTGCAGCATTTTTCTTATAGAATGTCACTTGATAAACCAGCAAAGATATACAGTGCCTTGCGAAATGCGAATGACTGATGATGATAAATAGAATGCACCTGTAATCAAGTTTCCGTATAAATGCACCTGCTCTTTGATAGTCTCAGGGTTCTGTTTAAAGCGCAGAGAGAACCATGAAGACAAAGGAACACACCAGGCAGGTCCGAGATACTGTTGTGGAGAGGTTTAAAGCCGGATTTGGATACAAAAATATTTCCCAAGCTGGAAGGAGTATCAGACCACTGCAAATCTACCAAGACCCGGCCGTCCCTCCAAACTTTCATCTCAAACAAGGAGAAGACTGATCAGAGATGCAGCCAAGAGGCCCATGATCACTCTGGATGAACTGCAGATAACTACAGCTGAGGTGGGAGAGTCTGTCCATAGAACAACAATCAGTCGTGCACTGCACAAATCTGGCCTTTATGGAAGAGTGGCAAGGCGAAAGCCATTTCTCAAAGATATCCATAAAAGGTCTTGTTTAAAGTTTGCCACAAGCCACCTGGGAGGCACACCAAACATGTGGAAGAAGGTGCTCTGGTCAGATGAAACCAAAATCGAACTTTTTGGCCACAATGCAAAACGATATGTTTGGCGTAAAAGCAACACAGCTCATCACCCTGAACACACCATCCCCACTGTCAAACATGGTGGTGGCAGCATCATGGTTTGGGCCTGCTTTTCTTCAGCAGGGACAGGGAAGATGGCTAAAATTGATGGGAAGATGGATGGAGACAAATACAGGACCATTCTGGAAGAAAACCTGTTGGAGTCTGCAAAAGACCTGAGACTGGGACGGAGATTTATCTTCCAACAAGACAATGATCCAAAACATAAAGCCAAATCTACAATGGAATGGTTCACAAATAGACGTATCCAGGTGTTAGAATGGCCAAGTCAAAGTCCAGACCTGAATCCAATCGAGAATCTGTGGAAAGAGCTGAAGACTGCTGTTCACAAACGCTCTCCATCCAACCTCACTGAGCTCGAGCTGTTTTGCAAGGAAGAATTGGCAAGCATTCCAGTCTCTGGATGTGCAAAACTGATAGAGACATACCCCAAGCGACTTGCAGCTGTAATTGCAGCAAAAGGTGGCGCTACAAAGTATTAGCGCAAGGGGGCCGACTAATATTGCACGCCCCACTTTTCAGTTTTTTATTTGTTAAAAAAGTTTAAATTATCCAATAAATTTCGTTCCACTTCACGATTGTGTCCCACTTGTTGTTGATTCTTGACAAAAAAAATAATTTGTATATCTTTATGTTTGAAGCCTGAAATGTGGCGAAATGTTGAAAGGTTCAAGGGGGTGAATACTTTCGCAAGGCACTGTAAAAGAAGCCACTAATGAAACAATAGAAAAGAGCACATGTGCAGGCCTGGTTTTGTCGATGCAGCATCTTCTTTCTGTCAGCAGGGGGAGAAAATGCAAATGTTTGGCCCTGACCTCTGCTGCAGATGGGAGAAAGTCAATCATCTTCATTTCCTCTGGATCCAGCCGCACACTCTGTCCTCCTCAGAGATATGAGCTCGGCTTACATCAATGGAATCTACAATCCTCTCTGTCTAACAGCAAATAGCAGCCAGGACGCTCCATTTATCTTGACATTACACTCCATAGATAAAACATTAGAGACTGTTTATTTTAAAATTCATACATATTTACTATAGTCATTGGATAGAATAATGATAAAAAGAAAGAAAGTCAAAGTTGAGCTGTGAACAGGTGGAAACCCTTTGTTAGAATGTTCCATACTGCCAAACTGTATGGGCTGGCCTGGTTAATATCTCTGTCATTGGAAATATTTGTATTTGTATATTATTTATTTTACATTTGCATAAAGTGATTCCATTTTTGGTTGAATGGAGTCTGGAACCATATCATCTCAATTTCAAACAAATGAGGAATACTTTATATATTGTTAAATAGATTTGTACTTGAATTCCATCGACCATAAAGACAAACATTTTCTGAAACATGAACGTAATTCAAATAATAAATGACACTTTAAACTAATAGCATTTGGACCATAAAACACTTTTAATAAACCTGTACATCTGTTTTATTAAGTAGTTTGTCTATAACCTCACTGCAATATTGCTTTAGTTAATCGCTCAAACACCAATTTAGTTTGTAATATATTGACCAGTTTTAACCACGTGTTTGTTTGGAGCCTGCCCTGAACATGAGTGATCGATGAAGGGCCCAAGAGGACCAACGTTTGTCCACATATAACTGTATGTGAGGAACAAGGTCCTGTCCAGACTGCTTCATCAGCAGGAGCGCAGTAACTGGACCCCAACACACAAACACACACAAACACGCACACACGTACACAAACATACGCATGCACATACACACATACATACACAAACATTAGCACACGCACACAAACACACGCACACACACACACAAACACATACACAAACACACACACACACACACACACACACACACACACACACTGACAACAGGAAATGTCAAACTTGAATCATGATCAGCTGCAGCTCTGCTGTACTGTCTTTGTTGAATGGACATCATTTCAGACCAGAACCCAAATAAATCAACTGAAAGGAAGAAAACCATGTTTTATACTGTATTGTTTATTCAGACATCAATCTTTATAGCAGTTGAAATGATCTTCCTCTGCAGAGTCGCTATGGTGCTCCTCAGAGTTAGCGTGAGAAGCTTGGTCACACAGGAGGAGCTCAGAATAGAGCTGCTTCTCCTCCATGTCGAGAGGAGCCAGCTGAGGTGGTTCAGACATGTGTTTCAGATGCTTCCTGGATGCCTCCCTGGGGAAGTGTTCCAGGCATGTCCCACTAGGATGACCCAGAGCAGGTTAGAGGAATGTGCCTCTGGACTGGGAATGGCTCAGGATTCCCCTGGATGAGCTGGAGGAAGTGTGAGCAGAGACGGATGTCTGGTGTCACTGAATAGACTGCTGCCACTGCCACCAGGCAATGTAAAAGTGGAAGAAGATGTATGGAAACAATTTGTAATATTCATTCATTCATTCATTTTCTGCCCCTTTATCAGTCCATTTCTGGGTCGGGGGGTGACAAGGAGAGCTGCCATTCATTGCTCAGAGCAGCAGTCCCTCTGATCCTCTGCAGGTGGTGAGTCCACAGGAAGATGGCTGCTACATCAGTGGTGCCACAGCCTTGGTCTTTCAGCGGGAGCTTCAGTCAACGTGGGGTTAAGTGTCTTGCCCAAGGACACAACCACAGTAGACATTAGTGGGAGCAGTTGGAGTAGGTCCCGAGGTGGGCTCAGTTCAGTGAATCATTGATAGGTAACCAATGTCCATGTGCAACAGGCTTCCACCCTCAGGTTCTCATTGAAGAGAAGCTTCATCCTCAGCTCATCCAGACACATGCCGGGGTTTGTAAACGTGAGTCAGTGGATTCTGATGTGGTGCAGGCTGCAGCTGAGTGCACACTCTGACTGTGAGCTCCAATGGGCCCAAATGCAGCAGAGCAGGTCCTCGAGCCTGATCCACACGCAGCTCACAGTGTCTCTGTATGAAGCACAGCACCGGGAGAATCCACTGGTGCACAGCTCTGAAGAAGCTCTCCTCTACAGCCATCAGGCACAGCACAAAGGTTGAAAGATGAAACTTCTTCTTTATGGAAGAGAAGCTCATGGCCTCAACAGGAAGGATGACTCAATCTTGTGGGTGGAAGCCTATTGCAACACTATTGGTTTCCTATACCAATGTTTCACTCTACTGTGATGTCAAATGAATAAATGAAATATAATATAGATAGTTTCCATCCATCTTCTTTCGCTTCATTCGTTAACGGGCAGCAGTGGCAGCAGTAATAATAATAATAATCATGCATTGGTTTTATTAGTGCTTTTCAGGACACTCAAAGACACTTCACATGCTGATATTCTTTCACTCCTGTCCGTCACCTCCTCCACAGAGTCCAGGGAACAGCCCAGGGCAGAGCTGGCCCTCCTGACCAACTTGTTCATTCAATTCCTGCCCCGCTCTGTGCTGCCCGTGGTTTGGTTTGGATCAGAATTTTGTAAACTTTTTAATAAAAAACGTTTTTTATCATTCAAACAAAAACGTTATACAAATGAAAACAGAATGCCTTGAATGACTTGACTGTGGGAGTACCAGGACCGCATCTGAACATTCTTTGGCTCATTGGGAATGTCCCTTTTAGCCTGATTTATCACCGGTAATTTGAGCTCCCAGGCTGCTGCTGGAGGCTCTGGCTGTCATGCTGTGGATGCTGTGGGTGAGACCAGGGGAGAGAGGATGGGTGTGCAGCTTGTACTACACATGAGTCAGTGGATTGGAATGTGTTGCAGGCTGCCGCTGAGTGTGCGCTCTGACTGTGAGCTCCAACGCGCCCAAATGCAAGACCAAAGCAGGTCCTTGAGCCTGATCCACACGCAGCTCACAGTGTCTCTGTATGAAGCACAGCACCGGGAGAATCCACTGGTGCACAGCTCTGAAGAAGCTCTCCTCTGCAGCCATCAGGCAGAGCACAAAGAGCACGGCGCAGATGTCTTCAGTCGTGTTGTGTCCCCCCTTTGCTCCACACTGGATATGTTCTACAGCTTAAATACTTACTTGTTCTCAGTTCAACCAGAGTCAAACTTTCTCTCTGTGAGTGTTCTCCCAGTGTTTGCTTCACACGTCACTGCAGCGTCTGTTTGACCAGAGCCACAGATGCAGGAAGTCGTCTTATTGTGACTTCAAGTACTTTGCAGAGGCGTTGGTTTGATAGAAGCCGTGTGTTCAGAGTGTATTCTTGGTTCATCCAGAGGTAAAGTTGAGTCTCTGTTAGCAGTGTCTTCACCAATGTAGAATCAGCCGAGAACTATTCAACTCTGCAGACGTCTCCTTTACAGCAGGTTTACTTCTTTGGTGAAGCCGGTCAGATGTGAGAGAGCAGAGTCTCTGTCGTCTTCTACTGTGTCAGCCTTTATATAAGACTCCAAGAAAACCAGCAACTTGGAAGACACACCCCTTCCTCTCTCTCTCTCTCTCTGCGCCCACACGCTCAGAGAAAACAAGCCACTGCCTGTGCATTCCTCCCACCGGTCTTTATAAAGGCTGAGACAGTAGAAGACGACAGAGACTCTGCTCTCTCACATCTGATCGGCTTCACCAAAGAAGAAAACCTGCTGTAATGGAGACGTCTGCAGAGTTTAATAGTTCTCGGCTGTATCTACAACTTTGCCTCTGGATGAACCAAGAATACACTCTGAACACACAGCTTCTATCAAACCAACGCCTCTGCAAAGTACCTGAAGTCACAAGACGACTTCCTGCATCTGTGGCTCTGGTAAAACAGACGCTGCAGTGACGTGTGAAGCAAACACTGGGACAACACTCACAGAGAGAACGTTTGACTCTGGTTGAATTGAGAATAAGTAAGTATTTAAGCTGTCAAATAAATCCAGTGTGGAGCAAAGGGGGAACGCCACACGACTGAAAACACCGCTCTGCCTGTGCACTCCTCCAAACGGTCGTCATAAAGGCTGAGAGAGCAGAGCACGACTGGAGCTCAGATCTCGTCCTCCTCCGCTCCCACACCTCTGTCAAGCTCCTCCCAGGACACTCACAAACCTCTGTCAAACATTGATAGGTAACCAATGTCCATGTGCAACAGGCTTCCACCCTCAGGCTTCTCATAAAAGAGAAGCTTCATCCTCAGCTCATCCAGACACATGCCGAGGTTTGTAAACGTGAGTCAGTGGATTGTGCTGCAGGCTGCAGCTGAGTGTGCGCTCTGACTGTGAGCTCCAACGCGCCCAAATGCAAGACCAAAGCAGGTCCTTGAGCCTGATCCACACGCAGCTCACAGTGTCTCTGTATGAAGCACGGCACTGCAGCGTCTGTTTTACCAGAGCCACAGATGCAGGAAGTCGTCTTGTGACTTCAGGTACTTTGCAGAGGCGTTGGTTTGATAGAAGCTGTGTGTTCAGAGTGTATTCTTGGTTCATCCAGAGGCAAAGTTGTAGATACAGCCGAGAACTATTAAACTCTGCTCTCTCACATCTGATCGGCTTCACCAAAGAAGAAAACCTGCTGTAATGGAGACGTCTGCAGAGTTTAATAGTTCTCGGCTGTATCTACAACTTTGCCTCTGGATGAACCAAGAATACACTCTGAACACACAGCTTCTATCAAACCAACGCCTCTGCAAAGTACCTGAAGTCACAAGACGACTTCCTGCATCTGTGGCTCTGGTAAAACAGACGCTGCAGTGACGTGTGAAGCAAACACTGGGACAACACTCACAGAGAGAACGTTTGACTCTGGTTGAATTGAGAATAAGTAAGTATTTAAGCTGTCAAATAAATCCAGTGTGGAGCAAAGGGGGAACGCCACACGACTGAAAACACCGCTCTGCCTGTGCACTCCTCCAAACGGTCGTCATAAAGGCTGAGAGAGCAGAGCACGACTGGAGCTCAGATCTCGTCCTCCTCCGCTCCCACACCTCTGTCAAGCTCCTCCCAGGACACTCACAAACCTCTGTCAAACATTGATAGGTAACCAATGTCCATGTGCAACAGGCTTCCACCCTCAGGCTTCTCATAAAAGAGAAGCTTCATCCTCAGCTCATCCAGACACATGCCGAGGTTTGTAAACGTGAGTCAGTGGATTGTGCTGCAGGCTGCAGCTGAGTGTGCGCTCTGACTGTGAGCTCCAACGCGCCCAAATGCAAGACCAAAGCAGGTCCTTGAGCCTGATCCACACGCAGCTCACAGTGTCTCTGTATGAAGCACGGCACCGGGAGAATCCACTGGTGCACAGCTCTGAAGAAGCTCTCCTCTGCAGCCATCAGGCACAGCACAAAGAGCACGGGGCAGATGTCTTCAGTTGTGTTGTGTTCCCTCTTTGCTCCACACTGGATATATTTTACAAAACAATTATTTACTTGTTCTCAGTTAAACCAGAGTGAAACTTCAAAAACCAAACCTCATTACCAACCTTCTTAACCAAAATTCTTTACCAAACGTCTTTACCAAACTCCAAAACCAAACTTCTTTACCAAACTTCTTTAACAAACTCCAAAACCAAACTCATAACCACACCTCTATGTTTGGCCTTTATATAAAGAAGTGAAAGAGCTGAGAACAACATGAGTTGTAACACAGGTCTGACCAGTTTCATCAAAGAAGTAAACCTGCGGGAAAGAAGCCTCCACCCCGAGCTCTTTGTGCTGTGCCTGATGGCTGCAGAGGAGAGCTTCTTCAGGGCTGTGCACCAGTGGATTCTCCCGGTGCTGTGCTTCATACAGAGACACTGTGAGCTGCGTGTGGATCAGGCTCAAGGACCTGCTCTGCTCCTGCATTTGGGCCCATTGGAGCTCACAGTCAGAGTGTGCACTCAGCTGCAGCCTGCACCACATCAGAATCCACTGACTCATGTGTAGATACAAACCACGGCATGTGTCTGGATGAGCTGAGGATGAAGCTTCTTCTTTATGGAAGAGAAGCTCAAAGCCTCAACAGGAAGGATGCCTCAATCTTATGGGTGGAAGCCTATTGCAACACTACTGGTTACCTAAACCACTGTTTCACTCTACTGTGATGTCAAATGAATAAATAAAATATACTAAAGACAGTTTCCATCCATCTTCTTCCACTTTATCCGTTAACAGGTGGCAGTAGCAGCACTCTCTACACGCACACTTCCTCCAGCTCATCAGAAGTAAACCTGCTGTCAAGGAGACGTCTGTAGAGTTCAATAGTTCTTGGTCGAGTTGCCTGATTTTTCAGGCCACTAGACTTTGCCTCTGGATGATCTAAGTTTTCACTCTGAACACACGGCTTCTATCAAACCAACGCCTCTGCAAAGTACCTGAAGTCACAATAAGACGACTTCCTTCATCTGTGGCTCTGGTAAAACAGACGCTGCAGTGACATGTGAAGCAAACACTGGGAGAACACTCACACAGAGAAGGTTTGACTCTGGTTGAACTGAGAACCAGTGAATAACAAGAATATGTACAATGGCTGAAGCCATAGCAAATGTCTGCATTCTATAATCAAAAAACAAAGTACTACAAAACAGTATAAAGATATAAAAAAATGCAGAACATACACAATTTACACCTTTATAACTTTATTAAACCCCCATAACCCCATATTATACTCTTTTCACCTTATTACCCACATTACCCCCACTCCCCTCACACCAGGTTTCATATAAAGTAGTATTAAGTGGATGATGCATGGAAACAATATTTATAATGTGATATTGATTCATTAACAGTGCAGTGAATCATTGATAGGTAACCAATGTCCATGTGCAACAGGCTTCCACCCTCAGGCTTCTCATAAAAGAGAAGCTTCATCCTCAGCTCATCCAGACACATGCCGTGGTTTGTAAACATGAGTCAGTGGATTGTGGTGCAGGCTGCAGCTGAGTGTGTGCTCTGACTGTGATCTCTGACTGTGAGCTCCAATGGGCCCAAATGCAGCAGAGCAGGTCCTTGAGCCTGATCCCGCGCAGCTCACAGTGTCTCTGTATGAAGCACAGCACCGGGAGAATCCACTGGTGCACAGCTCTGAAGAAGCTCTCCTCTGCAGCCATCAGGCACAGCACAAAGAGCACGGCGCAGATGTCTTCAGTCGTGTTGTGTTCCCTCTTTGCTCCACACTTGATATATTTTACAAAACAATTATTTACTTCCATCCATCCATTTTCTACCCTTTAATCCATTTCTGGGTCAGGGGGGTGGCAATCAGAGATGCCACCCAAGTCTCATAGCACCAGCCCCTCACTGACCCTCTGCAGGTGGTGAGTCCACAGGAGGACGGCTGCTCTCTGAGTGTGAGCATAGCCTTGATCGTTCAGTGGGGGCTTTTGGGCAAAGTGGGGTTAAGTGTCTTGCCTTATTATTATTTACTTGTTCTCAGTTAAACCAGAGTGAAACTTCAAAAACCAAACTTCATTACCAAGCGTCTTTACCAAACTTCAAAACCAAACTTCAAAACCAAACTCATAACCACACCTCTATGTTTGGTCTTTATATAAAGAAGTGAAAGAGCTGAGCACAACATGAGTTGTAACACAGGTCTGACCAGTTTCATCAAAGAAGTAAACCTGCGGGAAAGAAGCCTCGCCCCGTGCTCTTTGTGCTGTGCCTGATGGCTGCAGAGGAGAGCTTCTTCAGGGCTGTGCACCAGTGGATTCTCCCGGTGCTGTGCTTCATACAGAGACACTGTGAGCTGCGTGTGGATCAGGCTCAAGGACCTGCTCTGCTCTGAGATAAATGTGCCTTTCTACACAAAAGGAAATCACATGCCAAAGCATCCTATAAAGCCTTAACAGGAAAGATTGTTGTATCTAGATATCTGACTTGAAACATAATCTCCATGGGCATACCTGATTTAAGCTCCAGCTGCCTGGTTTTTCATGTCTGTATGCTTGCAGTTCATTCTACCCAATGTCCTATTAATTGTTCATTGTCCTGAGATGGAGATTTTTTCCTGGGCTTGAAGTGAACAGAAGTGCTGTTGTATCCGGAGCTCTTCCAGCAATTGTTTAAATTCTTGCCGCAAAATAAACAGGTCTAAAAAAAACGGACACAATGATATGTGTTGAAACATTGCTCTTCTGTCAAGCGTCTCCACACAGTTGGAACAGTCCTCAACTTGAAAGATTGATTCAAGTCCATAAGAAAGAATCCACCCAAAAAGATTTCAGTCCTATCCATGTGAGTATTGAGCAGCAACGTCTCATGATAGCTGTGGAGTACTGCTGCCGTGACTGACACAGGCCTGGTATAGGTCACCGCTGCAGAGTCAGACCATACGCACCCTCTCCCCCTGGTCTCCCCCTGGTCTCCCCCACAGCATGACAGCCAGAGCATCAAGCAGCAGCCTGGGAGCTCAAATTACTGGTGATAATTCAGACTAATAGGGACATTCCGAGTGAGCCAAATAATGCTCAGATCTGGTCCTGATACTCCCGCAGTCAAGTCATTCAAGGCACACTGTAGTCATTTGTAAAACGTTTTTGTTTGAATAATAAAAAAGTTTTTAAAAGTTCTGATCCAAACCGAACATTTGCTGGGCCACTATCGGACTGTACAATAAGTCACTTTAACGACCTGCACTAGGACAGAATAAAACTCACACTGCTATAGTCTATCTTAACTTGTGTATTAATGAATGATCAAAGGTCCATATAAAACAGTCAGCATTTAGATCTGCTTGAAATAAAATTGAACAAAAATAAACACACTTTAATTCCACAAGATGTTTTAACTGGTACTTTGAAAAAAAAAAAACAATCTCATAATTTTACTTTTTTCTATTCAAATACGTCAAACAAGGCCCCGGCTGCATATTTCAGCGTGCACTGCTATCCTGCTCTGACCTACCGTCTTTTCGGTCCTATTAGAAGGCGTCAGTGTGAGAAACATTTGCCAAATGTGACAGAGAGTTCGGAGCATCATCAGTCTGTCCGCGCTGACGATAAATCCATGCACTGATATATGGGCCTGTCTCTAACCACATGCAGCTCCAGTGAACGGGCCACGTATCCTTTTTACTGCAGTCGCCTGCTCTACGCACTTTGAATAAGAATGTTTGAATATGTTTGAGTAAGAACACTTTTTATAGAATTGTGGTAAAATGAAGTATGTGATCCGGATCCACTGAATCTTATCAACCACCGTGGAAAGTTCATTTACACTGGCCCTTTCCTCTTAGATCATGAGACACTGGTAATTCACACTAACAACAAAAAAACAGACATAAAAAAGCTGGATACTTTTGTGACGGTCTCTGATTAGTCGACAAATCGATCAACTTGCATTTCTTCAGAGGACCAAGAATGGCTTTAGTCAATTACAGCCCTAACCCTGTTTCAAGCATGTGATTAGTGATAGGGACAAATAGCCAATCAGATGTGCCGATCACATTTTCACTTTTCCTTTTTTTAAATACAAAATAATGTATTAACAAAGTTGAAGACATGCCAAATTAAAAACCATATTTTACAAAAACGTACTTACTTAGTTAAAGTATTTTTTATGAATATTTTTTATGAATATGATTAAGATAAGATAAGATAAGATACATTTGATTGATCTCACAATGGAGAAATTTACACTTTAGCGTCACAAAGTCAGTATGGTATTGACCGTGATCAGTGAAACACTGGTACTTCACACTAACACAGTAGCTCAGTTGGTAGAGCATTGGCCTTAAGGCCAGAAGGTCGTGGGTTCAATTCCCACCTCTACACCTTCTCCACCGACTCCCACTGATGACTACTGTCGTTGTGTCCTGACCCATAAATGGATTAAAGGGTAGAAAATGGAGATCTGTCAAAACAACTCAACTAATGACCCTCCTCGGACCCAATACTCACTCACTGTCCTGTGTAAGGATATAATTTTGTCCTGTGCTTAAATACCAGGTCTGTGGTTCTCATTTTGTTTTTTTTGTTTTTTAGATCTTATGGGGACTTGATGGGGTCTGGTTCAGGTCTGGTTCAGGTCTGGTCCAAGTCTGGCACAGTTGTGGTCCAGGTAAAGTTCTAGTCTAATTCTGGTCTGGTTCTGGTCCAGCTGGTTCCTACAGCTCCTGTGCACAGCCCCGTTGGTTTCAGGACAGTGACGATGTTTTATGGAGCAGTTCTCTGGAGGGAGGAAGATTTAGACATACACTGATTGAGGCTATTCCTCCATCTTCACCTCCGAGACTAAAATATTAGCAGACGCTGATTGAAAAACGTGTGTCATGTCTGGACAACAGAGGGGGCTCTTTCTTACGATAAAAACACTGTTACATTTAAAACAGAATCCAGCCCTATGTGAATTTAGTGGAAAATTGACCCAGACTTCTGCAAAATGCTGTTTACATCTTTAAACACAATTATAAAATAGTTTTTAATTTGGTGATTAGCCTTAAAATATTGTAAAGTGGACACAGGAAAAACAAGCTGGTGACATTTCCACAAAAACCATCCATCGCATTGTTCCAAAATATGTTTCCCAGCTAATTTTGGGAAAAAACCAAACATCGACACCTCCCTCTGGTGGTAGAATAGGGATAGTGCAGCCCGATAGCATTATTTACCAGCCCATTGATTTATTTACTATCAAAGCTGTTGTGTATTTGCCAAATTACCTTTGCCGTTGTTGTGCGCCAGTGCCTTGTCGATGAACTCGGCGCCCTCCTCGAAGTAGGCACTGAGGTTGAACTTCTCTGTGTCGTTGGCCGAGATGCCGTGGTACGTGATGCCCGTCCCGCTGTAGAAGTCGGTGCAGGTGTTGACGTGCATGAAGGAGGTGCCCTCGGCCACGTTCAGCACATGGGTCACCCCAAGCTTCTGCAGCCGCATGGTGTTCTGGGCCACGAACCTGAGACCGAGACAGGAACCACAATGAGTGTCAGAGAATGATCGTCCACAGAGGTTTATGTGAGCAAAGCAGGAATGGAGTTGACGTTGATGAACCTCTCTGTGATCTATGAATGAATGAATGTATTTGAAAAAGGACAAATATTGTAAAAACCATTTATGCTTTAGTGCATATAAAAATATACATGTCCAAATAGGAGTGAGAAGAAGTAAAAAAACACCCAGTCTACAACTTTACATAATAAGTTTTCTTAATTTGTCATGGTTAAGGTTTAGTTCCTGTTTTATTTTGTAATTTGTTGACCACTGTGTCTTTAGTGTTTCAATTTTGAAAAAAAAAACAAAAAAACATCAACACCTCCCTCTGGTGGTAGAATAGGGATCGAGTTGATGTTGATGAACTTCTCTATAGATGGATGTATTTATTTGAAAAAGTATAACCATTAATGCTGTAGTGCATATAGAAATACATACATGTGTCTTCTTTAGTGTTACTTCCTGTTTCCTGACGACCTGCCCCGCCCTCATGTGTCTCTCTTCTCTCGTCTTTGTTTTGTCTTACATCTTATTAAACCCTTCATTTTTGCAGTTCTGCGTTTTGGGTTTATGTCGTTTTATCACGTGACATCGATGGCCACGATCCAAACTAGCTCGTGACCAGTTTAGAAAGTAAATACAATGAATACAAACAGTAGTATTTGTTTTAACTTTCATCAGTAATGTACTCAATTCAATTCATTTTTCTGCAGCTCTAAATCACAACAGCAGTCGACTCTGAGGGCTTTATCAGGTTGTCGATTCCTCATCAGATCAGAAAATCAAACAGGAAATGCAATAATAACAAACACAGAAGGCATTGGTGGATTGGGGGTGGATTAATAATGTTTATGAATGTTAATAAATGTTAATAAATGTCCATAAATGTCCATATACCGTCCTGCATCGGCTAGGAATCAAGTGAGAACCCTTGGGCCACATTGAGAAAAAAACTGTACTCACTAAAAACAACTATCGAGGCGTAAAATCATTGACATATTTTGCGATCGATAAAACACTAATCAAACACATACATTGAGAGTTTGATCTGGGCTGAACGTCAAAGTAAAAACCACACCCGTCATCTCCTTTTGCTCATTTTTGCAGTTTTCACATAGAAGTTATAATACAGAATTCAAAACATGGTGGCGAACGTAAATATTTAAATAATATCGACGTGGCTTACATTTTATAACAATGTAAATGGCTCACAGGGAGTTGCACAAACCAATAACCTGCTTTTTAAGTTTTGTGCTGATGGTGCAGAAGTTGTTTCTTTAAAGCGCAGCAGAGGTAATACTAATATATGTCTTTGTCAGCACCGGGACCACGTTTTCTGGGCTTTGTTTATGTTGTAAAATCCCGGATCCTCACGCAACCTCCATTATGATGCATTAGAGTGAGAGCTGAACACAAAGCACTTAGGGACGTGGGCCAAGCGGGCGTCAGATAATGTACACTATATTATCTACACTTTCTCCTCTGGAAATGTGCTCAATGATAAAACACATTGTAATTGTAATTGGAAATACACAAAGCATGAATTACAATTATTTTTTTGGTGTGTTTTTGACTTGAGTGTGTTTTTGTTTTTGGTCAACCCACTATTGTATAAGCCAACTATAAGGAGAATTATTTGAATTACTATTATGGGAACACAGCACAATTCAGAATCCATGTAGAGCAGGGGTCTCCAACCTATAGATCGGAGCTACCAGTAGCTCGCCGGTCGCCAGCCCCTTTCAGGTAGCTCCCCAAAGGATTTACAATTCCACACATGATCCTGAATGAATGCATGTTGAATACAATTGACTATTGTAAGTATGAACATAAGGTTATACAGTATTATAGTATATTTATATGTGTTCTCTGTGTGTGTTCTCTCTTGTCTTAATTATTGCATAGATTTTTATTACCACTGCAAAAAAGGAGTAACTCTCTGCCTCTTCTGTTGTATAAAAGTAGCTCTCTGCCTCTTCTGTTGTATAAAAGTAGTTCTCCGATTGAAAAAGGTTGGAGATCCCTGATGTAGAGAATAAGCCGAAGATAAGATAAGAGAACTTTTATCCTTTTTTCTACAGTGGGGACATTTTGATGATGTCGGTATTTACTGGATTTAAAAGCTGGATACTTTTGTGACGGTCTCTGATTAGTCGACAAATCGATCAACTGGGCATGTCTTCAAAGGACCAAGAATGGATTTAGTCAATTACAGCCCTAATCCTGTTTCAAGCATCGGTGACGGGGACAAATAGCCAATCAGATTGGCCGATCACATTTTCCTTTTCTTTTTACAAAATAGAAAGTATTAACAGAGTTGAAGCCAAATGTTATCTATGAAAGATACTATGATTGGTGTCACAAAGTCAATGTGGTATTGACGGTGATCTGTGATTGGCTGATCCCAAACTATGATGTTAAGAACCAGTGATCGGAGAACCTGTACCTACAATATATCAAAATACAATAATTCTAAAAAACTCTACTTCTACTCTATGTGGCTGAGTAGTTAAAGCTGCACTAACTGACTTTATTATCGTATTCATTACGAAAATGCTATCCATGTCCATGTAGTGCATTAGCGCAGATTTGTGCTGGCGTGACATTATATTTTAGATCGAGTTTTGATGAAACAAGGAAGAGTATGTGTTTCGGGTCGCGGATTGTGACCAATCACAACGGATCACTAGCCCCACTTTCGTGAGAAATCTGCAGGTCCCTGTTAGCACAGACAGCTCCGTCAACAACAGTGGGTGTGTGTGGGGGGGCGATAGCTTCGTGGGTGCGGGGAGGGAAGCAGAACGAGCGAAGCCAGCGTGTCCGCTGCTTCAAAATCCCAAAGTCAGTTAGTGCAGCTTTAAGTAGTAGTATGGTAGTAGTAGTATGGGGACAATTATGAAACAAAATATGTACAAAATGTGCCCAGAAATAGAATACTCAGACAAAGCACTGAGCTAAAAAAGTCAAATGAATGAACCACATATAGCAGTATTTTTATGTTTGTTCCAGCTTGACTTTCACAGTTACACATATTTAGATTAGCTTAATGATGCTATAGTTGTTTTTGAATGCGGGCGTAAAGCTGCGAGCTAACAGTGCGGAGGACAGAGGCGATTGGCCCAGAGCCACGGGACACTGACACTGTCCAGAGACACTCCGGTCCAGATATCGATCCTCTCCTGTTACAAGAACGAATGCTCAATGGGCCGGTAAGTGTTACTAATGAGCATGTCGGGATTTATGTCAGCCCTGAATATAGCACAACAATACATTTCATTTAAAAAAGTATTAAGTGATCAGAATAGCAATTGGCTGGTACTGAGATGAAACATGTGGGATGGCAGTTGGAAAAAAGGAATGGAAAAGGCTGTTTATAAAGAAAACACTCAGTCATATATTAGTTTTGAGCAATATACTCATTTTCCAACGTAATAATGTCCCTTAATTATGCTAAAATGTTGTCATGGTATTGCAACAAAATACCACAACAATCCTCCAGCAAGTACAAAAATAATACATTCCATGAAAAATAATAACAATAATAATAATAATCAATAGGTTTTATATTGTCCTTTTTTGGACACTCAAAGATGCTTCACATTTCATTTTTCTTTCTCTCCAGACACGGTGGTGATAAACTACTACTGTAGCCATAGCTGCCCTGGGGCACACTGACAGAAGCGAGGCAACCAGTATGTGCCATCGCCCCCTCCGACCACCAACAACACACACATTCACACACACACACACCAGACTCATTTTAGGCAATGTGGGTGCGGTGTCTTGTCTAAGATAGGTAGGTACAGTAATGTAATTGCAATTTTGCAGCCACTAAAACTGCAAAATCTATAAATTTTTGTAAGTGATCATTTGTCCAAAACACCCCAAGAGCCTTTCTGTGTGTGTGTGTGTGTGTGTGTGTGTGTGTGTGTGTGTGTGTGTGTGTGTGTGTGTGTGTGTGTGTGTGTGTGTGTGTGTGTGTGTGTGTGTGTGTGTGTGACTGTGCCTGTTCACCTGGACGGCCCTGGCCTCCGTCCTGCTGCCCTGGGATCCGCAGTCCCACTACATCTATTATTTAACACGAGCCGAGCCAGAAGCGAGTGGTTCTCAAAGCAAACAGCCACACCTCCAGCTGCTCCCGTGCACCCGCCACAAATGACATCACAAGGTTGAGCAGCGCAGAGATGGAAAAACACAAGACAGCTCTTTATGACACAGGCTTCATCTGATCTCAGGTTAATTATTGCTATTATTAGGTCGCTACATGTTTATACTTATTTATTATTATGTTCAAGAGCGAGATTTTATACTTGTTCTTCGATGCTAGTGTTAGAGGTTTTTTTTTCAACCTAGTATAACTATTATTCACTTTCTTAAAGGAGAATTGTAAACAAGTAGGTCACAATAATTACAATATTGACTTAATAAAACAACATATTTTGCAAACTGTAATAATCAACTAAATCAAACAACATAAAAAAAAGACTTGAGAGTAATGCTCATCTAGATTTTATTGATTCACCATAAAAAAAATGATCACTTAAAACTACATCTAATTGTTTCTAGTACTCAATATATTGTGGAGGAATGAAGTTTGAGGAAACACTGCTGCTGTGATCGTGCAGAGCCACAGAGCATCAGGAGCAGCATCAGGAGCAGCTCTGTAATCAGATGCATCAGCAGAGACTGGAGCGTCCCGCCGGACACAGAGGCGGCTTTAGTCCACGATCGATCACTGATGTTCCTCCACCATCTGTATCGTCTCATTAGGCTGGACCGGACCTTCACTGCTTTGGGGACAGCTGCAATCTCATTAAATACTACTTAGAAGCATACACGGATTATGGACGGAGAGACAGGCTTCTACTCTGACAATGTTCCGATCCAGGAATAAAATACTTCTGGTTACTGCACGCACAGCTGAAGGAATCTTTTTATTGTGCTGTTATTATTCATTTCACTAGGAGTCCCAGAATTCAGAAAAATCACAGATCAGTTGTGTTGATGGCTGGCATTCCAATAATTACATTCTGAGAAACTCCCAAAAAACAGTTTTAGGTTTTTGCTAGTTTGATTAAATTACAGATTTTTAATCAAACTAGCAAAAACCTAAAACTGTTTTTTGGGAGTTTCTCAGAATGTAATTCTGAGAAACTTATTTAATCTTAACTCACTTTAAATAAGTTCTGTAACTTTAAATACAGCAGTTTGTGGAAAGGCTACCCAATGCTAACTTCTAATAGTAAACAGTATGTTGCTATGGTAACTAGCACTTGCTCTTCTCAGGTGGAAAATTAAGATGAAAGAGCAGTTGAAGTTGTAGCGTTAACACCTTGTATGATGGTTTCCTTGTTTTGTTAACCTCTTAAAATCTCAGGCCTATTCCCATATAATTACTATACAGGCCTTTTCACATCCGGTCTTTGAGGTTTCTGTGGATGTGAACATTTCCATGTGTACTATAGTTTGCAAGAGTACATAAGGCTACATTATCAAAAAGGTTGGTTGGAAAAATGTAGATGCTGTTACATATTTGGTCATAAAAATGCAATATACAAATGTTTTATACAAACTCACTCTTTATCTCACAATATAAACACAAACAAATAACACACTACACTACAAACTTTAAAAATATCACACACACACACTTGTAAGATCACTGTTTGGCCATGTGAAATTCTGCAAAACAGTTTTTTTTGGTGGTAATACACAGAGGAACATTGCACTTCTGGCAGTACATTGGTGTCTTCACACGTTTGAACCCTGCTTCAGAGCACCGTCTGCAGTACCTCCTGCCCTCAGTGGCCGTCTGTCCATAGAAAAGGGGTACACACATGGGTACTCCGGGTTCACTTTCTCCAGGTTCAATAGGCGCACATTCGTCATGTACGTCAACAGGTTCATCTCCAAATGCTGCCAACTCCTTCAGCAGCGTCTCACGGAAAAGCTTCTGTGTTAGTGGCTTTGTTCTGTCGCCCTTTTCGCACACAAGCTCCTGGTGCAGTATAAAAGCATTCAATTTGGAGAGACGAGAAACGAAAATGGTTTTGAGTATTTATTGAGGTGGTTTGGCGCCCTAGGCCCCGGTGCGGCCTTCAGATCGGAGAGGCTCCTGCGATGGAGCGCGTACAATCCCCCGGGACCTAGGCACTGGTGGCGGCATTTTGGCAGATTGGAGGCAGATTGGAGGCAGATTGGAGGCAGATTGGAGGCAGATTGGAGGCAGATTGGAGGCAGATTGGAGGCAGGGTGAAGAGGAGGAGGAGGGGAGGCGGTGGTTGCGAGGCTTCGAGAAGGCAGAGAGTGGGAGTTGCTCCGCTTTTAAGCGGCTGCCTGTCCGGCACGGATGATTGGAAGGGGGCGTTTGCCGAGCGATAGGCTGGGGAAGCGAACCGGCCTGGAGGGGGTAGCTTTTGGCTGACGTCTACCAAATTGAATTTTCGCGAGCTACATTTCAATTTGGAGAGACGAGAAACGAAAATGGTTTTGAGTATTTATTGAGGTGGTTTGGCGCCCTAGGCCCCGGTGCGGCCTTCAGATCGGAGAGGCTCCTGCGATGGAGCGCGTACAATCCCCAAAAAGGCTGAGTGTGTTGATGGAGTTTTGCAGCCTGGTTTGCAGGGAACAGACGTCGTGGCTACTCTATGCTGTGACCGCTATCGCTATGCTGTGACCGCTATCGCTATGCTGTGACCGCTATCGCTATGCTGTGACCGCTATCGCTATGCTGTGACCGCTATCGCTATGCTGTGACCGCTATCGCTATGCTGTGACCGCTATCGCTATGCTGTGACCGCTATCTCTATGCTGTGAACCGTTTATGCGCTAACCATTTTTTGCTATGCTGTGACCGCTAACACTAACGCTATGACCGCTACCACTGACGCTATGACCGCTATCACTGACGCTATGACCGCTATCACTGACGCTATGACCGCTATCACTGACGCTATGACCGCTATCACTGACGCTATGACCGCTATCACTAACGCTATGACCGCTATCACTATGTGCTGTGACCGTTATATGCGGTTATCTTTGAGTGCCGGGACGTGAGCGCTCGCATCACGATCAACCGGACGCTGCGGCAGGGTTATCTTTGAGCGCTGGGACGTGAGCGCTCGCATCACAATCAACCAGACGCTGCGGCAGGGTTGTCTTTGCGCGCTGGGAACGTGAGCGCTCGCATCACGTTCCGTCAGACGCTGCGGCAGCGGAGAGTGTTTTGAGAGAAGTGCGTGCCGCCACCAGAATCTTATTGGTTCACTTACTTTGCTTCGTATGCTTTGCTGGGAGCTTACGAGGAAGCCAGTTGACGTTGTGCAGGCAGGATAGCGGACGCGTCTGGCCTGATGTAGGCGGAGAAAGCCGCAGAGGACCGGCGCCCCAGCTGTTGCAGAGAGGTGTGGGGGAGCCCCAGCGAGGCCGCGATGGTCCTGGAAATAAACCCCCCAAAACCCACGGAAGGGGCACGTCCGTGTAGAAGCCGAGACCTGGAGGGGCAGAGACATATCGGAGAGGGCCATGAAGTTGCAGGCGCCCTTACGCTTAGAATCTTGGGTTGGAGAGTAGATAATCAGGATAGTAGGATGGTCGGGAAAAGCCGTGTCTCGGACCGCACGAAGGTTGAGTGTGCAGTAGTGAACGCTTATGCAGAGAAGCCATGGAAGGCGAGCAGGAAGATGCTGCGAGGAGGGCAGACATGTACTTGGAAGATGAGCCGGAGTTCAGTGCCGCTGCAGGATGGGCAGCATGATGGGGAGCCTGCGATCAGAAGAGTGAAGAACACGGTATGGATGCCTTTGATTAGGAGTCCAATTGACGGCTCAGCGCAGCTACTCGGCCAGCTGCATCTGATAGAATCAGAAGATTAAGTAAGAGATGAAGCACGACCGCCGAAGCGACCCTGGGAGCATAGGTGCGAGTCCAGTGCCGCGCGGCATACTCGGCCGGGCTGCATCCATTAGAAGCAGGATAAGCTTCTGAGAGAGTGGGTTGCAGCAGTAGCAGTAGCAGTAGCAGCAGCGGCAGTAACCTCAGATAATAACGGCAACGACCTGTATCAGCCGCGGCAGCAGCAGCTGCTGCATCCGTAGATAATAACGGCAAAACCCTGTATCAAAGCCACGGCAGTAGAATATGTTGTAGCTGTTTAGTGTTTCAGTAAGAGAAGCGAAGTGAAGAGAGATGACGAAGTACATGAAGCAGCAGCAGCACGGCAGTAGTAGCAGTATGAAGCAGCAGCGGCAGCAGCAGCAGCAGCAGTAGCGGTAACAGTATGAAGCAGCAGAAGCAGCATTAGCAGGAGCAGCAGCACCACGAAGCGATTCATACGAACAGACAGACGTGTCACGCCGGCGTGCGCCGCTTGTCTCCGTGAGCCAGGTTACGTACGTGTCTGAAAGAGCCGAGCCACAGAGACGGGTGCAGCCTGGGAGCCTGCGGAACGGCAGCGGCACATGTAGTAGTAGGAGCAGCAGGAGCAGCAGCAGGGACAGACAGCAGCAGGAGCGGCAGCAGGAACAGGCAGCAGCAGGAGCGGCAGCAGGAACAGCAGCGGCGGGATCAGGCATCAGTAGGAACGGCAGCGGGGACCGGCAGCAGCGGCGGTCAGAGAACCAACCCACGGTTGTTTAAGAGCCTGAGGGAATAAATCAACCCGAATCCGAAAACATTCCCATACGAATAACAGACGTCCCCTGGAGCCATCTTCTGCTTTGGTTATGGCAGATGCGCATGAACGATCACTGATCCATGCGTTCATAGCTCCAACACTACTTCACACCCATTGCAGATTCACGTTTGGCCCTTTTTCTTCCTGCTGCACTTCAAAATGCAACACTGCAGTTAGTTACCTAATTTAATACCAGCGACCTAGCTATTTAATGCATGGTTTTACTGCAAGTGGCAGAACATGATCTGAATTAATGCACATAGCTCCTCGTATATCCCTCAGACGATAGAGATTGATGCCATTTAATATGCATTGCCCCTCGGTTAGCTCAGACACATGTGAAACGGAGCCTGCAGACCAAGCTCGGGGCGAAAAAAAACTGGCGCCTGCAGTCAAGTGCGTAGGGCAAAAACCAATCGCCTGCAGCCCAGAACTCCGGGATTAATCTGTCCGCGGTCAGCACACTCACTGTACTCACATGCCAGGAGACTTGGGAAAGCAACGGGACAACGCGGCACCGCCAGACCTTCTGCGTGCGGCAGCAGACCACGAGGAACGAGCCGCACAGAAACCCGCGGAGGGCCCCGCGGAGCAGCCCGCAGAAAGAGCCCGCAGAGGAGGAGAGCAGTGGAGATATGCGAACCACAGCAGGTGCAGGGACGTGGAAGAGGAGCAGACCAGTGCAGGGACGCGGAGGAGGAGCAGACCAGTGCAGGGACGCGGAGGAGGAGCAGACCACAAGCAGCCAGACGGAGGACGCCAGGGACGCGCCGAGTAGCGTGAGTAGACGAAAACGATTCCTCCAGACGATTCTCTGCAAGGCTTCAGGAGCTTGCGAGGCTTCGAGAAGGCAGAGAGTGGGAGTTGCTCCGCTTTTAAGCGGCTGCCTGTCCGGCACGGATGATTGGAAGGGGGCGTTTGCCGAGCGATAGGCTGGGGAAGCGAACCGGCCTGGAGGGGGTAGCTTTTGGCTGACGTCTACCAAATTGAATTTTCGCGAGCTACATTTCACCACAGCAATGTCGATGAAGTGGTAAAAGAAGGTTTTGTACCATTTCTGAGTCTTGTGAAGCACTGAATAGTAGCTAATCAATGCGTTAGAAAGGTTGACGCCACCCATATGATGATTGTAGTCGGTCACAGAATCTGGACACGGTACCTGCTGGGACCGCCACTCGCCCTGCTCCTTCACCTTTCTGTTTACGGTCTGTCCGCTGTATGCCTGATGCACTGTAGAGCACAGGTTGACCTCACGCTTGTCCATCCACTTCACAAATAGGAGTTTGCCATCACGTATCCACCTGAGATCACCGCTTGAGGCTTTCCTTGGCAAATTATTCTCCAAAGTCTTGGGGAAACCAGCACAATTTGTATGAATTGTGCCACAGGCTCCAGTGCTCTTCTCGGACAAGTGTGTGAACAGGGCAGGACTTGTAAAGAAACTGTCCACATACAAAGTGTACCCTGCGCCAAGGTTGGACAATTCCATCAGGTCAGTGACTGATGTGAAGCTCAGACCGTATTCAGAAGGCGTTGCACTCTGTCCACTGTACACATAGAAGTTCCACGTGTAACCATTTGAGGAGTCTGCCAACACATACAGTTTATAACCCTGCTTGAGTGCTTTATCCTTGTGATACTGCTTTAGTCCTCGTCGATCTTTTGATGCCACCATACGCTCGTCTATACTAATGTTTTTGTGTGGCTGGTAGAAGGACTTACAAGCAGTTACAAGCTCGGTATACAGTGGCTTTATTTTGAAGAGCCTGTCATAGTCCGGGGTGTTTCTTTTTCTATCGTTCTCGGCATCTTCCTCCGGGTCACTCAGGTGCAGTGTCCAAGCAATGGCTTCAAACCGTGGCCTGCTCATTTTGCTCCTCGGAAATGCAAAGTTATAGGGGAAATCTTTCCGCCAAAGATCTGCTCTTGCTTTCACATCAACAAGTCCTGTGAACAAGATTATTGCCAGGAACGTGTAAAACTCCTTCAATGTGAGCGGTGACCATTGGTATTTTATTCCAGCCTCCCCTCTCTTCTGTGCTTGAGAGTTTGTATTGTTTATAATTGTTTGAGCTGTGGTACGGCTAAAAAACAGTTGAAACAACTGCAGAGGAGTCCAAGAGGCTGTTTTGTCCAGAACAGGCCCTGGTGTTCTTTTTGGCACAAAACTATGTGGATTTGGTGGAGTGTCTGGCTCATCACAGTCGTTCCAGCGGTTGGTGGGAGCAGGGCTGGAAAGTGTGGTAGATGTTGAAGGAGTGGTCGGTGTAGTTCTCAGCTTCCCTCTCAGGCTTTTTGACGTTGCCTTTCGGGGGGTTGACGGTTCCAGGGAGGGCGGGGGAGACCGTCTGAGGACAAAGCAACAACATTTAGTCACCAATTTGTATGCCTTCCATAAGTAAGGTGCTAATTAGTAAGTAAATTATGTTTTTATAGAGCGAATTTTACAGACCAGGTTCACAAAACGCGTTAAATTTGAGGGTATTTCATTCACTCCACAGAGTTGAATTAGAAGTGAACTGTAAAGCCTAGCGTACATCGGACTGGCAACTGATTATATCCGTCGCATATGAGTTGCTGCCCCACACACATCGACAATCTGACGAAAACGGGCAACTCCCAGTAGCAGACCAGTCTCGGGAATAACAGCGCGTACATCGACAGCAACTGGCCTCAACTACAGTGTGTTTTCTGACATAAACTGTTGCGGGCTCGCAATACACACACGTTGTCGGAGCGGCGCATGGAGCGCGCACATCGGGCCATATCTCCGAAACTGAGGACAACTAGTTGCCGAAAAGTAGAACACGGGCAACTGACTGAAACTGGAGACCGACTGTTTATCTCTAGTTGTAAGAGCGCGCACATCAACCGATTTCAGCAACTGATCATCTCCCACCATCTCCTCTCCGTTGCCAAAAGCAGCCTTGCAACTAGTTGTCTCCAGTTTCTCTGTCGATGTACGCTAGGCTTAACTCTTAATCAAAGACTCACCTTTGTCTAGCTGGTGATTGGAGTTCCTCATCTTCCTCCGCACTCTCACTACTGCTAGCCGAAGGTGTGAACATTCCTGGACTAGGGAACAAAAGACAGAAGGTCACTTATTTTGCATATCAATTTAGTGGTCGTTACACAGGAATTCTGAAAATTACCTTTGCAGCCTGGAAGACGTTCTGGGCCTTTTGTGTCTGGCTGTACTGGCTTGGTCATCCTCATCACTACAAATAAATCAGAATTAGTCTTATTACAAACAGGGAAAGCAATGGAAATAAAACACTACTCAATACAAAACCGGTTCAGACAAATACAAGATCATTATTGAAGCATTTACAGCTAGTAAAGAAACATAGCTACAACTTATTTTGTATATTTTGTGTGCTCCCTGCGTGCTCTTACTACTGTCCCGTCTGTGCACTGCAACATTGACATCTCCCCACTGTGGGACGAATAAAGGATCTCTAATTTCATCATTCCACATTTTACATTACTTCAGAAAAGGTTTATTATAATGAATGTGATATGTAATTATATACACCCGCACACACACTTATACACGCACGCATAAACTATTGGTCACTATTATTCAGTAAAACCAAGCTATGTGAGTAAAGACATTTACAACATAGATTTAGTTTTCTCGTTCAATGCAATTACAATTCATACATTTAAAACAAAAAATGAAGTACCGGTACCTCTCAGACGCGTTTGCCTTCCCTCGGACGGAAAATTCTGAGCCACTGGAAACCTCGCTCTCATCCAAGCTGATATCGGATTCAGGGTTCTCGAAAAGCTGCTCTAAAAGCTGAGCAGGAGCTAAAACCTTCTTCTCGGACATAATTTCTATCAGAAACGTGCACCAAAGACGGCTGCTGCTGCTGACTGTGTGCTCCGGCGTCTCCGTGCGAGAGTGATAACAAAGGCCCCGTCCCAATACTCGCACTGCCACCCTCGCGCCCCTCATTTGCGCGTTCCCGATAAAGGGTGCGAGTGCGTAGGGTGTCCCAATCATGGATGTATTAGGTCCCAATTCTCCAGGGAGGTATTTGGCCCCTCCCCTTTGCGCCCCTGATCCACACTTCGCCGTAGCCTGCATCTATGCGCACTCTGGAAAAAAGAGGATGGCGGCGAGGCGGTAAGCACTGTGGCAGAGCAGCTCTCGACTTTTGTGGGGGAAAAAAAGCATCTTTCATCTCAACTGAAGACACGCACTATAATGAGTAACCCCTCGACCAAGCGCAAAAGTGAAAACAAACCACCTGTGACTCCGACTAAATCTCTTAACAACAAAAAAGGTAAAATGGAGCAAGAAACCGCGGACAGCATAGTGGCGGCGCTAAAGCTAGCTATCGAAGAGCAAGGTTCTACCATCGGAAAGTCCATTGATGAGCTGAAACGATCTGTTGATTTTCTCTCGGCAGAGGTACAAGACATAAAAGGGACAGCAAGGAAAACTGAACAAAGAGTAGACAAAGCTGAAGAAATGATCCAACAGCTTGAAAGCAAAGTGGTTGAATTGGCGCGTTACAAGCGTAGATGGAATTTACGTTTGCGTGGGCTGCAAGAGAGAGAAGATGAAGAAGTGAGCAGTGTTGCCAACTCCTCAGTAAGGAAAGTAGCTATTGGCTGTCCCAAAAGTCGCTAGAAGTCGCTAAATGACGTCATCGCCTAATTTGCATAATTTGCCATTTGCAAATAACTGTAACGGACGCTGTAGGAGAGAGGAATAAGGTCGTGGGAGAGACAAAAGTGAGTAAAAACACCCTAGATATGTTTAGAACTACAAATGTACAAAAATAATTTCAACATTAACAACATTTAATGATTTTAATGCTTTGTCTAGATCCACATTACACACATCAGTTTTGTCCTGTATTGTTAAATGTTATAACAGCAAATGTAATCAAAAGATTGTTATGTAGGGTGAAATTGCTAGCTCTACAACCAACCCTCCTCCTTTATCCGGGCTTGGGACCGGCAAAGTGACCCAAAAGACACACTCTGGCAGAGTTACTTAGGTTTATTTTTGTAAGTTTTTTTTTTTTTTCATAGTTTGGCATAACAAATGATTTAATGTGACCCACTACTGAGAGAAAACAGAGTCACGGACAGAGCTGCCGCGGATGGAGTGGGGGGTAGTGGGGGGTGGCGGTGGTAGGAGTGGCCGGGGAGCTTTGGATGTGTGGTGGTGGTGGAGCTGAAGTTCAGTCTGCAGCAGCCTGAAAACTTCCTGTGCTTTTGAGTCTCCTCTCTCTCTCTCTGCTCCGCCCATAGACTGTAGCTGGGACTGCTGCGCAAGGCTACTGTGAGACTGGCCGCCTGTAAGTGCTTTGGGACGGGGGAGGGGCTCACGTTGAGGACAGCAGAACAATACGTGCTTCACGAGTCTCCAAAACACCAGATAAGTCGCCAAAACACCAGATAAGTCGCCAATAACACCAGAAAAAGTCGCTAGATTTGTCGCTAGTCGCTTTTTTGAAAAAAAGTCGCTATAGGGGTCTGAAAAGTCGCTAAATCTAGCGACAAAGTCGCTAAGTTGGCAACACTGGAAGTGAGGCGCGCTGTGATTGAGATTTGTCAAAACGTAGCCCCAGGCTACAAGGACAAATTTAAGGATGTGATAGACTCTGTGCATAGGCTCGGTAGACCCAATTCAACCAGGTCCAAACCGAGAGATATTATCATCCAGTTCTCTATGAGGCACTATCGCGACGCCATTTGGAAGATGTCAAAGAACCATGATCATCTGAAACAACGACTTCTGCGCTTCAAGGAGGACCTGACGCTGGAGGACCGCGAAAAACGAAATCGTTTGTGGCCCCTCATCCAGAAGGCCCGGGAGGAAAAGAAGATTGCCTACTTTGTCGGGGGAAGAGCCTTTATCGACAACAAAGAAATATTTTGACATTAAGATGCTGATCTCAACTTCATAAGGGAATAAGCTCTGCCTTCTCATGTCACTTCTTTCCAAGTTAAAGAAGGAACTGTTCTGACTGTTTTTTTATTTTTTATTTAAACATTTCTCTGTTGAAATTTATTTCTATTAATGCTCGAGGCTTAAGGGACATTTCTAAACGCAAGGCAATTTTTCTCTATGCTAAAAACTTTGATGCAGACTTTTGTTTAATTCAGGAATCCCACTCATCTGATGAAGATTATAAGTTTTGGAAGTCACAATGGGGAGAGGACATTTGGATGTCACATGGCAATCACCACTCAGCAGGAACTCTCACTTTGAAACATAAATTCAACGGAAAGGTTATTTCTACTCATACAGACTTAAATGGTCATTATACTCTCCTGGTATTTGCTCATAATAATCAGATATTTCTCTTGGGGAATGTGTATGGCTATACTAATGTAAAGGAAAACAAAGATCTAATTCTAGATTTAAATGACAAAATAGAAAGTATTATTGAAAAGTTTCCAGATGTAAAGATAATTTTCGGGGGAGATTTCAATTGTACATTTAATGATGAAATTGACAGGTATCCTAACAGACAAAAAGTTAATGATTATTTGAATGAGTTTATCAATGAAAGAGGCCTAGTGGATATATGGAGAATCAACAATCCGAATAGCAGAGAATTTACTTGGAAAAATAGAGTTGGTTCGCTACAATCCAGAATTGATTTCTGGTTAGTTTCCGAATGCTTAACTCAATTAAAATGCAAAAGCGAAATTATTCCAACTCCTTTAACTGACCATAAAGCTATTTCACTTACCTTACAGAGATCACCAAATGGTGAGCCCAAAAGATGTCCAGCCTATTGGAAACTTAACAACTATCTTTTACTAAATGATGCACTTTGTGAGTTGGTAAACAATAAAATCTCTCAATTCTTTAAAATGGCAGAGACCGCAGGTGAATATCAAAAATACTGGGAGCTCCTAAAATTTGAACTGAGGACGTTATTTATGAAAACTGGAGCAAAACTTAAAAAAGAGAAGAAAAAAGAAGAAAATGACCTAATCAATAAACTAGTCTCTTTATCTTCTATTTTACCAGAAAATATGTCTGATTCTCAACAAGCTCAAGCTTCAACACTCCAGTTAAATTTAGATAAGCTTTACATCAATAAAACTAAAGGAGCCTTTATTCGATCCAAAGCAAAATGGTTAGAAGAAGGTGAACAAAACTCAAGTTACTTTTTTAAACTAGAAAAACAAAGGCAAACAAAAAATAACATAAACAGACTCTCCATTAATGGTGCCGTCACAGAAAATCCCAAAACTATTTCTAAATTTTGTGAACATTTTTACAAAGATCTATACAAATCCAACTTCTCACTAATGCATATGAATGAATTCTTTAAGCATGTAGATCAGGTGAAATTTATTGGGGATTCAAATCAAGCAATTTGTGACTCACCAATTACAGCTTTGGAGATATTTGATGCTATTAAAAAGCTTAAACTGAACAAATCTCCAGGTACAGACGGGTTAACCTCTGAGTTTTATAAAGCCTTTTCTCCTCAGCTTGCTCCATTTATTTTAAAAGTATTTTCAGAAAGTATAAACAAAGAACAACTTCCACCTTCACTATGCCAAGGCTTGATTACCTTAATTCCCAAACCTCATAAAGATGTTGCTCTATTGGACAATTGGCGTCCCATAACACTTCTCAATAATGATTACAAAATTTTAGCTCTTTCTCTTGCAACTAGGCTAAAAAAAGGTGCTTCATTGTGTAATAGAGGAATCCCAGAATGGTTTTATGACTGGGCGATACATTATTGACAATATAAGACTCATTTTAGACCTGTTAGATTACTCTGATTTAATCTCAGAAGATAGCTTTATCTTATTCTTGGACTTTCAGAAAGCATTCGATTCGGTGGAGCATACATTTTTGTTCAAAACATTAGATCTTTTTGGCTTTGGTGAATTTTTTAAGAAATCTGTTCGAACCTTGTACTCTGCTGCAAATAGTTCAATCAAATTACCTCATGGGACTACGGGTAGGTTCAATGTTGAACGCGGTATCCGCCAAGGATGTCCCCTAAGTGCCTTTCTATTCCTTTTACCTATGCAAATTTTAGCATATTCAATTCAAAATAGTTGTCTTAAAGGTATTACTATTGCTGGCAGAGAAATAAGGTTAAGCCAACTAGCTGATGACACCACGCTTTTTTTAAGAGATGCCTCTCAAATAGATTGTGCTATAAAGCTATTAGATATTTTTTCATTAGCCTCTGGTCTCAAACTCAACCTTTCTAAATGTGAACTATTTCCTGTCAAAGACTGTTGTCAGTCAGAAATATTAGGAATCCCTGTGAAACAAAAAGTGAAATACTTGGGAATTACTATTATGAAAGATGAAAACTTAAGACCAAGAGAAAACTTCAATCCCCTTACTTTGCTAATACAAAAGAAATTTAATATGTGGCTATGGAGAGACCTGTCTATTTCTGGTAGAATATTACTTTCCAAAGCTGAAGGTCTTTCAAATTTAGTTTATGCCAGCTCAGCACTTGAAGTCTCTAATGACATAAATACAAAGGTAAACAAAATGTTATTTGACTTTATTTGGAAAAAAAAGTCACACCTTATAAAAAAGGATGTAATGATTAACAAGCTATCCTCTGGTGGGTTCAATGTTCTAGATTTTAAAACCTTGCATCATTCTTTCAAAATCAAATGGATAAAAAGATATTTACAGAATCCAAATTCTTTATGGAATTTCATTGCTACACATGTATTTGAAGCTTTAGGAGGTTTACATTTTCTATTAAGGTGCAATTATAAGATAGAAAAATTCCCCGTTAAACTTTCTAATTTTCACAAACAGTTATTGTTATCCTGGTCTCTAGTTTATAAGCACAATTTTTACCTCAC